TGATGTCACAATTCACCTCCCACTCCGCCTTTGCGAGAAGTTCCCTAGCTGTTCTTTGGCTCCCTCCTTTTTGCACCTGGGAGGTCTCTGGTGGCGTTCATGGTCTCGGCTCGGAGCACTCCGCAGTAGAGTTGCCATGCATTTTGCTCTTGGTTTTATTTCCTTGGACTAAACATAAATCATGATATTAGTGAATGGCTTCAGAGATTCTTCTTCCTTCCTTTGCATTTTTAAGGAGTACGGTTCTGGTTTTGGTATCCATTACAGGGGTAGTTAGGTTTCTGTTCCATAGCAGCCAAGATTTACAGTACAGAAAATTAGGACTGATTATCTGCATTTCAAAAATGTACCTCCTGTGGCAGTCGGGTAAGCCCTTCCAGTGCCACCGTTTTCCCACTTGGCTTTTCTTCTCTGCCAGGTACAGGACCAGCAATGTAATTTACAAAGCCCAGTGCAAAATAAAAATGCAGAGCCTCTGAAAATTATTTCAAGAATAATTCTTTTTTAAAGAATTTCAAGATTCTATGTCTTCTAAGCCTGAGGCCCTCCAGAGCACAGGGTCCAGAGTGACTGCACAGCTAGCTGGCCCATGAAGCCAATCATGTTTGGGAGACAGCAGTGGTTAAGACCTTAAGAATGTCATAGGTTTTAGTTACAGGCCTAGTTCTGCAAATTGTTTTTTTGGGGGAAGAGGTATATGAAGACACAGGAGCTTATTAGATTGTTAGGGTCATATATTTTGATGGTTCCCAGGAGTAGGAACCAACATTTCAGCATCCCACTTAAGTCCTGAGAATAGTACTTTGTATCTAAAATTTTTTTCTTGAGATATAATTCACATAAGATAAAATTCACCCTTTAAAAGTGTACAATCCAATGGTGTCTAATATACTCACAAAGTTGAACAACCATCACCACCATCTGGTTCCACAATATTCATATCCTCCCAAAGAACCTCCGTACCCATTAGCAATCACTTCCCATTCCCTCTTGCCCGAGCCCCTGGCAGCCATTAATCTACTTTCTGTCCCTAGGGATTTGCTTGTTCTGGACATTTCATAGATATGGAATCATGTAGTATGTGGCCTTTTGTGTCTGACTCCTTTCACTCAGCATAATGTTTTCAAGGGTCATCCATGTTGTAGCATGTTATTAGTACTTCATTCCTTTTTATAGCTGAGTAATATTTCATTGTATGGACATATCACATTTTGTTTATCCATTCATCCATTGGTGGACATTTAGGTTGTTTGTGCCTTTTGGCTATTGTGACTACTGCTGTAGTGTACATCTGTGTACACTGCATACCAATAAGTATATACAAATGTAACTGTATTTGTGTACAAGTTTTTGTGCAAACAAGTGTTGTCAACTCTCTCAGATAGACACCTGGGAGTAGAATTTCTGAGTCTTCTTGTAAGATACTTTTTGAGGAACTGTCAAGGTGTTTTGCAAAGTGGCTATACCATTTTACATTTCCACAGGCAATATATGAGGGTTCCAATTTCTCCAAATCTTCACCAACACTTACTATCTGTCTTTTTAAAACATTTTATTGAGGTATAATTGACATACAACATTATATTAGTTTCATGTATACAACATAATGATTTGATATTTGTATGTATTGAGGAATGATTTCCACAATAAGTCTAGTTAACATCTGTCACCATACATAGATTTTTTTTTCTTGTGATGAAAAATTTTAAGATTTATTCTCTTAGCAACTTTCAATATACAATAGAGTATTATTAACTATAGTCACCATGGTGTACATAACATTCCCTTGACCTATTTATTTTATAACTGAAAGTTTGTATCTCCACCCATTTTGCTACCCCTCCCCTCAACCTCTGGCAACCACCAAACTGTTCACTGCATCTATGAGCTTATTTTTTTCTCTTTAATTTTTCTTTTTATTATAGCAGTCCTAGTGAGTGTGAAGTGGCTCTTCTTAGAGCAGTTTCAGGTTCACAACAGAATTGAGCAGAAAATACCGAGAATTTGCACAAAGCCCTCCCCTCCCCTCCACATCCCTCATCAGTGTGGCTTATTTGGTAGAATCGATGAACCAACATGGGCACATTATTATCAACCAAAGTCCATAGTTTACATTAGGGTTCACTCGTGATGTTATATATTCTATGGGTTTTGACAAAGGCATAATGACATGTAGCCACTATAGTATCATACAGAATAATTTCATTGCCCTAAAAAATCCCTTGTGCTCCATCTGTTCATCCCTCCCTCCCTCCCTCTCCCCAAACCCCTGGAAACCACGATCTTTTTATTGTTTCTGTAGCTGTGCCTTTTGCAGAATGTCATTTGGTTGGAATCATACAGTTTGTAGCCTTTTCAGACTGGCTTCTTTCACTTAGTAATATGTCTTTTAAGTTTCTTCCATGTCTTTCATGGCTTGATCATTTTTTTTACCGCACATACATTTTTTAATTTACATATATGTACAGTTCATTGTTTCTGAGAACGCTTTAGAGCTTTAGCTTTTTAAACTTACATAGTTATCAAAGGAATAGAGCCAACCACAAAACAAGAATTAATTCAAAAAGATATATACACCCTACTATTAACAGCAACATTATTTATAATTGCCAAGATATGGAAGCATCCTAAGTGTGCATCAATAATTGAATAGATAATGAAGATGCAGCATATATATATATATATATAAAATGGGATACAACTCACCCATGATTCGCATTTCCCTAATGACAATAATGATGTTGAGCATTTTTTCACATGCTTACTGATCATTTGTATATCTCTTTTTTGCGAAATGTCTATTCAGATCCTTTGCGTATTTTAAAACTGAGGTATTATTGGTCTTTCTGTTGTTGAGTTGTAGGAGTTCTTTAAATATTCTGGATATTAAACCTTTATCAGATATGTGATTTGCAAATATGTTCTCCTATTCTGTGAATTGTCTTTTTACTTTCTTGACAGTGTCCTTTGAAGCACAAAGGTTTTTAATATTGATGAATCCAATTTATCTACTTTTTCTTTTGTTCTTGTGTTTTTGGTCATATCTAAGAACTTTTCCTTAATCCAAGCTCATGAAGATTTACTCCAGTTCTAAGAGTTTTTTAGTTTTAACTCTTACATTTAGGTCTTTGATCCATTTTGAGTTAAATTTTGCATAAGGCATGAGGTTGGGGCATGTAATTTTAATTCCTATTCAGCCTCTTAATAATCGTGTACTCTTTGGTAAGTTCTTGAACTTAAGTTTCAATTTTCTCATTTATGAAGTGGGAATAACAAACAGAACCTAAATAATAAGGTTATAGTGAAGATAAAGAGAAATTTTACATAAAGCACTTAGCAAAGGGCTTGAAGCATCCTAATTGCCCAATAAACCTGGTAGTCATTACTGTTATAATGCAATGAGTGAATGCCTTCATAGTGGAGGTGTCAGAAAGATGGACAGCTTTTCTGAGACGGCTGTTGGGATCCCGGGAGGGAGAAGAGGCTTAGCCTACGGGGGAAGCAGGTCTGGGACTGTCACAGGAGTGTCTGCCCCAGGTAGACCGCTGTCTCATAATCACCTCTAGGGATTAGTAAAAAATTCTAATTCCCGGGCCCTATCCCAGAGCTACAGAAAGGCGCCCCCTAGGCACGGGGCCTTCAGAAACTGCATTTGTATCACCTTCTCCAGAAACTTAAGTGTGCAGGGCCGCGGTAGGGGTGACGGTGGTCGCACCTGCAGCGCCGCCTTTGACCTGCGGGGGGCGGCCAAGGGGCCGGGGCGGTCACGGCGGCTGCGCAGAGCTTTTCTCACGCCGGGGGCTGCCCCAGCCAGATCCGCCGGGCTCAGCTGACAGCTCCGAAGACGGAAGAGGCGGTGCGCAGGTTGAGCCGGGCGTTTCCAGGCAGGGCCGGCGAGTGGAGGTGAGGGGACCCAGAGCTAGGGTGGAGGGCGGAACTTTCGGGCCCGGCACGGCGGGGCGGCCGGAAGGTACGGTGGGGACAGCGCTCCGGGCGCGCGAGGCGCAGAAGGGCGGCCGGGCCGGGACAGCTCAGCTGGCCTCAGCTCCCCAGACCCGGGACGGGGCGCCTCCAGCCCGGCCCGGCTAAGACCTCCGGGCACTCAGAGGAGGAAAGGGAAGGTCCGGGCCCTGCTCGTTCGGGACGCCCGGGGTCGGCCCACACCTCGCACAGCCGCACAGCGCCCTCTGTGTCCAGCCGCCGGGGTAGGTAGCAGGGCTTGGGCCTGCCCGCAGTTGTAGGTGAGTCGTGCAAGCAACGACTCAGCAGGCCCGGCGGTGAGCGGTGAAGACACCGGCAGCGGCGTGCTGACCCCGGGGCCAGGGCTGACCCCAGGGCCGGAGCCCGCACGGTGTGGCCTGGGAGAATGAGTAGGGTTTTCCCAGGCCCGAGGGGAACCCGGGAGAGGAGGGGCTTCCCCCGCTGGTGTAGCGGTTTCCGGTTTGCACCAAACTAATGTTAAACTTGAATTCTCTCTCGTCTTCTGGCCCCGGGTTTATTCTCGTTCCTGTGTTACAGGTGAAGAAACTGGGTGGTCTGCATCAAGGTTTAGTTCTATATTAGCTGTGTGACCTTAGGTAAGCAAGGACTCAAGATGCCATTTTTCTGTGTGTCGTGGAAATAGTAATAGGACTTGCTTCATGGGGTTGTGGAGAACGAACAGGAGTTAATGCATCTGAAGGGCTTAGTGCAATGCCTGACACACGGTAAGAGCTCACTAAGTTACTTTCCTTGCTGTGATTGTGACGACCTACCCAACCTCCTGCTTCTGGTGGGATGTGGCAGCGTAGGCACTGAGCCTTATGATTCTAGTCCCCCATTTCAGCACGCTGCATCTCACCCCAATTCAGTTCTAGTTTTTTCCAGTGTCTAAGGCAAGGTACTGCTAGATGCTGAGAACAAAATACACAGATGCAAAAGACTTGATCCTCACCTTAAGTCACTAATGCAGTCTGGTAGGAGAGGAAATGCAAGTTCAGAGGAAGAACTGTAATGCAAGGTGGGAGGTGACAGTGTCATAGGAAAGTTAACAGAAAAAAAGTTTGCTGGATTTTTAAAGAAAGTCATGACGTCTAGTTGGAATAGGGGCTTTGGAGGCGGATCTTAAAGGCTAAATGGATAGAATCAGAAGGAAATTTAGGTCAGCAACCTGAATTAAGGGACTGGGACCTGGCGGCGGCTTCAGAAGCTGGAGTCTGGTGGGGTAGATTATGAGGAGTTGGTGATGGCACACACTGCTTGGGGTAGAGCTTCTCAATCCTGGCTATGCATTAGAATCAGGTGGAGAGCTTGTGTAACTGCTGATGCCTAATTTAATTGCTCTGGGGTACGGCTTGGGTATTGAGATTTTAAAAAGCAGCTCCTTGGGTGATTCTAACGTGTGTACTAGATGGGAAACACTAACCTAAAACTAGAAACTATAAACTCATCTCACCCCGTTTATAGTGTTTAAACAGGAAGAAACACAAAGCTTAATTAAATTATCACCATATACTACACCTGGTAAAATTGTTTAAGTAAGGTAATGTGAAAAGACAATACAGTACATAGTAGTAGGGGCTCAATAAAAGTATTTCATTCTTAGCTTACTTGGGAGTCACACATCTGAGAATCTGGTTTAAAAGTTATGGTTTTATATCATATTTTTGAGTATAATTTAAGGGTGTTGGTAGGATTCTCCAAAACCTATCTATGAACTGCCCTCCCCTTCTTCATTCCCAGTTAGGAAGCCTGATTCTAAAGCATGTAGACCATGACTTAAAAATGCGTGTGTGTGTGTGTGTGTGTGAGACTGCTTTTGTTGTTTTGTTTTTAAATATCCTGCTATTGGGGAGAGGAAAGGGGGGAGGGGCAATGGGGATTAAGAAATACAAACTATTTTGTATAAAATCAGCTACAGGGATATATTGTACAACATGGAGAATATAGCCATTATTTTATAATAGCTATAAGTAGAATATAACCTTTAAAAACTGTGAATCACTATATTGTACACCTGTAATTTATATAATACTATATATCAACTACAAAAAAAAAATCTTGCTATCATGCTTAAATTAGCCTAATGTTGAGTGTCCCTGGCAGGATTAATTCATTAGCAGGCGAGAGGAAAAACTGGAGGAAGATAGGAAATGAAGGAGTAGAGGAAGCAGAAGAGGAAAGGAAAACAAAAACAAAAACAGCACCAGGAAGTTGTTTGTTAGGGGCACGGTGTGCTGTCCTTTCATATGTCCTTGGTGTTTCTCCTTAGCTCCTCCCAGGGCTGAAGGCACTCTCATTGCTGGGAACATGCAGATGTCCCTTCAACCACATGGCTCAGGCTGTGCTAGGAGAGTAACATGCAGCTGTAGATTAGGATTGACTGTGTTAGGATGTGTTTGATTTAAGTGGTGGTAATGAAAATTCAGAATTTCAATCTGGAGCGTGTCTTAACACCATCTTTTGTATTTTTTTCTGCAGATGGCAGGATTTCTATAGTATATCTAGTATGAGTTCCACATCTTGGCCTCTTATCCAGCTTCAGCAGTCTCACCTCCATCAGATGGAGAATAAATGAGATTTGCATGAATTCCAAACTCTGAGCTGACATACGGATTGCGGTGCTAATATCCTTTTCTTCTGGTTATTATTAACAGGTACTAACTGACCTAAAATAGAATATATCACTGTGTCTTAGATAACAGCACAGCTTAAGCAGAACCATTATTTGCTGGGAAAAAAATTACTTTTTGAAAATGAAATCATTTTAAATGAATTTGTCAGTTTTGACATGTCACCTTTTATAATGTGACAAACCATGTCCTTATGTTTCAGTTTTGTGCATTTCAATTTAAAAAAAGATTTCTCTGGAGAGGGAACATATCTGCAAATGCAGTTATAGTCCAACATTTTAATTGACAAAATGGTAATATTTGGTTTTTGTTTTATTAAAGTATTATTTCATAGATCTGCATTACATATTTTTTTCACATTTAGATTATCTGATATTGTGGTGCATCTTTCAGTTGCTGCAGTTAAAGAGCATTGATTCATACTTTAATTGCAGCATATTTTCGTTGTTGGTGTTACCTGAGTAATGGTAAATCTTTAAATTGATTTGACAGAATTTGTCATTATTTCAAAAATTTAATGTTATTTTGCTGCTTCCCCAGTTATCTGTCTGATATCATACCTGTCCCTGTAACATTCTCTAGGGTAGGGTGTTCCCAACTGGGAGCAGTTTTCTTCCCCCTCCACAGCAGAGGATAGTTGGCTAAATATCTGGAGATATTTTTGATTGTCACAACTCTTGAGGGAAAGGGACACTGTTGGCATGTAGTAGGTTGAACCCAGGGATGCTGTTACACATCCTATAATGCACAGGACTGCCTTCCACAACAAAGAATTGTTTGTTTCAAAATGTCAGTAGCTGAAGTTGAAAAAACCTGCCCTGGAGATTCCCGTGAATTTAAAAAATTCATTTATTTTTAAGTAGTATATCAGATATACTTTGACTACTTTTGGTAGCAAGGCAATTGCTAGGTTTAGTAGGCAAGTCAAAGTAATTTGTGATTTGTCCTTTTAAAAAATGTTTTTGATTATGCATTTATTCCTAAATCATCCGTGACTAATGAAGTTGGCAATTAGAAGCACCACAGCCATCCTTTTTGAAAAAAGCTGTTACTCTTGCAGAGCTACTGGAATACTAGATATCTTTTTTTAGTTTCTTAGTTTTTAGTTTCTTTCATTTTTAGTTTGACGGAAAAGTGAGAATACTGACTAGTTCTTTACAGTTGTCGGTGAGGAGCTTTCTTTTTGGGGGGGAATTGGGGGGAGGAGAGTGCCACTAGTCTTTTCCAAACTCTGCCTTTTCTGTTCTTAACTGTTTTTAATGATTATCTTCAACTCCCAGAAAATTAAATGTCGTCAGAGGACCGAGAAGCTCAGGAGGATGAATTGCTGGCCCTGGCAAGTATTTATGATGGAGACGAATTTAGAAAAGCAGAGTCTGTCCAAGGTGGAGAAACCAGGATCTATTTGGACTTACCACAAAATTTCAAGATATTTGTGAGCGGTTAGTTAATATTCTCTTAAACGTGTTTTTCTAAATAAAGGTTATTCTCAATTTCTTAGCGTGCCCTAAATTATTAATCATCTTGTGTTTACGGGCAGTAGTGATAGATGGTAGTATTACAGATTTAATGCATATTTCTGTTGTAGTTGAAAATTGGACTGGGGGTAAACAGTTTTCAATTTGATTCCGCCTTTTTGACCTCTGAATTGGGATATTATCCTGCATATTTCATGCATCCTAATCGTCTAACAAGCAGTTCATCAGCCATGAGTCATTGGCTGTTAAATAGGGATAATAAAAGAGAAAATGAGATAATACATGTGAAAACCCTTGGGAAGAGTTAAAGTACCATAGTGGTTGTTAATACTATTCAGTTTCCAGAATCATTTCAGCCACCATAAACATATGACACATGCTGCTATTCTATGACCTTTTGCTTCAGAAAAAAAATTAAAAACTGTTACCTTTGATACAAACATTCAGATTGATGCATTCTTTCTCAGAATGTTTCTACTATAAAAGCTTTGAGTAAAGGAAGTAAGTGTGATAATTTAAAATGAAACGTTGATTGTGAGAGTGTTATGTGTTGTTTCTTGCCCTTAAGCCTGAGATCACTGGATTGGCACAAATTCTCTATGATTCATGGGTAGTTGGCACATGCCGGTCTAAGTAGGTCATGGCTCTTTGATAGAAATAAATGTCCTTTTCTCTAGATTGTGTCTTTAATTATCTACTGTAAAACAACAACAAAAGAAAACATTGTGTATTACTTGCTCATTAGTGTTAGGAATTATACTCAAAAGTGTATCCAAGAATAAGTTGTGTATCTTTGTTTTAAATTTCATACTGCGTAGTAGATTTTTTAAGGGCTTACGGATTTTTTTTTTTAAGGTGGCGGCTATGAAGTAAAATTAGGGAACAGAAAGTGCTTTGGAGGAGGGATTTTATCCCCTCAACTAAAGCGTTAAGTTTTTCTTGAGCACTGCTCAAAGTAATGGACACTCAAGTGCTGACCAGCTGATCCTTTCTAACCTTTGTTTTTGGTTCAGGCAATTCCAATGAGTGTCTCCAGAATAGTGGCTTTGAATACACCATTTGCTTTCTGCCTCCACTTGTGCTGAACTTTGAACTGCCACCAGATTATCCATCCTCCTCCCCACCTTCGTTCACACTTAGTGGCAAATGGCTGTCACCAACTCAGGTTAGACCCGAAACTTAATTTCTCCTATCCATTTTTAGAAACTTAAAAAATCATCTTTAATTGAAGACTACCTCAATGATCTTGAATTCAGTGCATGAAAAACAAACGGCTTTGATTTTGTAATTTTTTTCCCTTGCCTACAGAATCCTAATGTTAATGAATTGAAAATGTTTGGTGTTTCAGAAAGAAATGACAATAATTAGAATGATTAATCATTATGAATTACGTAGGAGTAATTTTTAATCAAGCGTATTGTTTCTTTTCTGGTCTTGCTATTTTCCCATTTAGTCTGGATTGTAATGGAGACTAAGGTCCTCGTCCTCCTCATTTTCTCTTTTTCCTTAGATGTTGCTATTGCTTTTTATTTATTCTCTTTTTTTTTAGTTTCTTATCCATTCCTTAAAATAAAGATTTAATTATAATTAGGAGGACTAAAATTGAGCTAATGTAGTTATAATAAACAAATTTCCTCAGAAAACATAAAAATGCTTTTATTTTTAAAGGCCTGTATACTAATAACAAAGAGTTGTTGACTGGTCTCACTGATGTAAACACACACAAGTAGAAATGCATATGGTTGCTGTAGCTGTCTCATGAAGGATTGAGACCTTATATTATGAGCCTTCATTTCCTCTGGGTTAGAGATCCTTTCTAGTAACAACCTCAGCTCTTGATTGAGACATGAAAATGACTTGAAGCTAATATGAAGCATTCCAGGATAGATAATGGATCAATAGCAGCAGCTTTTTAGAAGTCAGGATGGAGATTGATAGGCTGATGTATTAAGACAAAAGCTGTCAGAGCTACTTGACCTCATGGAACAGCTTGTCAGTTTTTCCTTTTTGATCTTGTGATTTTCATTCTCCACCCTGCTAATCTTTAGATGAGAGTACTTTTGTAAAATTGAACTTACAGTTTTAAAACAAAATTAAACTTTAAAAAAGGATAATACATGTAGAATAAGAGGGAATTTTACCTTATGTTTTAGTATCTGTGCCAGAGACAATACATGCAAGACAGTGGATTATGTGCCCAAGAATATCAAGGATGTCTGATGTTTAGATCACCGAGAGTTGACTGAATTATTTAGATATTTATAGTCTCATTTCTCCAGAGAGCTCTTGATACTTTATGTCCACACGTGTACCGGTACACACACGTGCTTGCACAAAACAAGGACAGATTAACTGGGTGTGTGGTTATAATTACAGATTCTACCCAAATAGCATACACCTGATGCTGGCTTTTGGGATGTGGAGAGAAGAGGGTTGTTCATTATTTTATGTTAGGACGCAGCTAAAATTACCGTAGGACTGTCTGCAGATACATTTTTGCCCATCTAGTTGACATTTTTAGTTAGTCTCTTATGTTCCTTGGTTCAGTTCTTGTTTGTTGCTGGGCCTTGAGTCCTTGGCATTGTGAATTTTACCTGTTGATAGTGAAGTTGCCGCATTGACTGAGCTGAGTTGGTGGATAGAAGTGGGTTTAGTTTTCTAGTATTTTACACTATTTCTCTTATAATATTTTTACAGTCTTTTTGATGTACATTTATGTACATCCCAGATGCCTCTTTTGAGAAGGGGCTGGAGAAGAAAAGGATGGAGGAGAATGGCTTCTTCATTGGACTTGGTGGCTCAAGAAACACTCGGAGCTGCCTTCCCTTTTAGTATCTATTACATTTTACAGATTTCAGCATGTTTCTGGTGGATCATATAAGCATATTCATGCAAATGTAGAAAAACATCAGTTGTCTAATCTTGAACTGGTCAATAAGTGTTTTAAGTTTGTGTATGTAGAGGATTTAGTGAGCAGCAGTTTGCGGCGTAAGGAAGAGAGAATGTGGTCCTTTTTCACTTGATACTTAAAATTTACAAAATTTATTTGCATCTGGAAGGCTCATTTTTTGGTGTTTACCTAAAAAGAAAAGCTGCTTATGATTCCTGAGCTCTACTTACAAGTATTCCACATTTCTAATGGCAAATCTTCTTATATTTGCCTTTCAAATTGAGCAGACCAGTTTTAAGGAGGAAAAGTTGAAATACTTTGGTTCCTTAGCTTAGGAAATGTAAGCTTTCCCTATGGCAGCCAAACCATTGTTGAGGGCTTGTAATCTTGTCCAGGTTCAGGATCGGTCTGCCTTCTTCTGTTAGTCAGGATCTGGTGTAAGCCCAGATTGCTTAGTTAAAATCAGCTTGTAAATCTGAATAACAAGGACCCTGAGGTTAGATTCTGTTTGTGATTCTTTCACACAAGTTGGCTTCTTGCTAGTACTGAAAGAATTAACTTTAAAACTTGGAGGGTATTTTTAAACTACTATTTTTCTTGTCATTATTGCAGAGTACCTACAGGGCTAGGACTCCAAAGGAATAGAAGTGGTTCATTTCAGAACTAGAGCTCTTCTCCTACGTGAGATAGATAGCAATGCTGAAACGGAGAAAAATAAAGAATAGAAAAGTCCTTCATTTCAGTGGCTCATATGTAAAGCTAATTCTGCATCTGGCAGGGTCTTGCCATTTCTCTTGTTTTCATGGTACTTATGTCTTCTGACTTTGTGCTTTACTGTGGCTCGTGTTGCTGAGTATTTTAAGAAGTGCTTAGATTAGACTGGTGCTGTTTTGCAGCACAGTTTAACACAGCAGTAAAAAAATCATGTTAGGAAGTGTAAAAGCCTAATTTAAAAGTTAAAAAGATTTCAAGGGAAATCAGGAGTTGACAGCATCATCATCTTTCCAAACTCATCAGCATCCTTATGTGTTTTTTCCTAGCTGTCTGCTCTCTGCAAGCACTTAGACAACCTGTGGGAAGAACACCGTGGCAGTGTGGTACTATTTGCCTGGATGCAGTTTCTTAAGGAAGAGACCTTAGCGTACTTGAATATTGTCTCTCCTTTGGAACTCAAGATGGGTTCTCAGAAAAAAGTACAGAGAAGGATGGCTCAGGCCTCTCCCAACACAGAACTAGATTTTGGAGGAGCTGCCGGATCTGATGCAGACCAAGAGGAAGTTGTGGACGAGAGAGCTGTGCAGGATGTGGAGTCGTTGTCGAGTCTGATCCAGGAGATCTTGGACTTTGATCAAGCTCAGCAGATAAAATGCTTTAATAGTAAATTGTTCCTGTGCAATATCTGTTTCTGTGAGAAGCTAGGTAGTGAATGCATGTACTTCTTGGAGTGCAGGCACGTGTACTGCAAAGCCTGTCTCAAGGACTACTTTGAAATCCAGATCAGAGATGGCCAAGTTCAATGCCTCAACTGCCCAGAACCCAAGTGCCCTTCAGTGGCCACTCCTGGTCAGGTAACTTTTTATTGTGCTGCCCCCTAATTCTCTTTCACAAAAGGAGACACCTCAGGAACTTCCTTGATAAGGCTCATCAGGGCTGTCTTAAGCCTTGGAGCCAGCCCACAAAGTGTTTCATTGTATCCATCAAGAATGCCATGGTCTTAACTTTCCCTGTTAAGCAGATATAAATGCTTCCTTTGCTGGCTTTGAAATGGGCAGTCCTTGGCCAGGATGAGTGTTAAAAAAATTAAGTAGTTCTGGTGATTTACTCTGTATATCTGCTAGATGGGGGAATTACTACCTTATCTTTGTGTGAGGTTGAATCTGAAGGGTTTATCACTTGGAATGGTTAACCAAATGTTTACAAACTTTAATGTAAAGACAGCCTGCTTGGTTTCTTTTTTTTCTTTTTTAAATCAACTTTATTAAGGCATAAGTGTACTCATTTAAAGTTTATAGTTTGCTTTGTTTTGATAAATGGTAGGCTCATGTGATCATGTCATTTCAGGGAAGATAAAGACTTCCCCTCCTGGGTTTGATTTTGAAGTAAGGTTGAGTGTTTTAATTTATGTGCATCTGGTTTACACCAGCATCCTAAGGATCTCCTCAGGGTTAGGACTGGTTGGGAAATCATCAAACCTGTGGTATCTTATATTTTTAACTTCAGGTCAAAGAGCTAGTGGAAGCAGAATTATTTGCCCGTTACGACCGCCTTCTCCTCCAGTCCACCTTGGACCTGATGGCAGATGTGGTTTACTGCCCGCGCCCATGCTGCCAGTTGCCTGTGATGCAGGAGCCTGGCTGCACAATGGGCATCTGCTCCAGCTGCAATTTTGCCTTCTGTACTTTGTGCAGATTGACCTACCATGGGGTGTCTCCATGTAAGGTGACTGCAGGTAAGTTGTAACCGTGTGACCTCAGTCTCCCAGTGCCCCCCAACCCCCTAAAAAAGCCTATAATTTCAGTCCTTCAACTTGGAAGTGTTTGTTCAACAGATATTTTTGTCAGTTACTGTCCTAGGTTCTGGAGACATAGCAGGGACTAAACGGCCTCATGGGACTTACATTCTAATCGGAGAGATAGGCAAACAAAATAAGTAAGAATATTAGATGATGGTAAATGCTGTAGAGAAAAAAAATAAAAGGACAGGATATAAAATGTTCTGAAAGGGTAGGGGCTTGGGATTTTATTTAGAAAAACCAGAGGGAGACCTCGCTGGCAAAGTGGTTTGAGTAAAGACTTGAAGGAAGGCAGGAAACAAGCCATGCACATATCAAGGGGGTGCATTCCAGGGAAGGGATGACAAGGTAATTTCCATCTGTGAATAGGGAATAAGGTAGACCCTGGTTGGCAAATCATAGCGTCTAAGCTGCCACTCGTTTCCATGGTATACATGTCTGATCAATCATCAGGTGCTTTCTCCTTGAGCCCAGGGAGGCCTCAGAATCTTCCTCAACAGAGCATTTAAGAAAGCCATCCTCTGTGGGGATTAATAGACACACATTGTATATATGTAGGTCCTTGTATAGCACATGGAACTATATTCAATTTCTTGTAATCACATATAATGGAAAAGAATCTGGAAAGAAAAAATATATATATGTATAACTGAATCACTTTGCTGTACACCTGAAACTAACATTGTAAATCAACTACACTTCAATAAAAAATTTTTTTTAATTAAAAAAAAAAGAGTGAAAGCCACCCTCTCTTAAGGTAGGCACAGGAGGTGAAACCTGTTAGCCATTTCTGACCTTGATAAGGATTGAGAAATCAGGCCCTCTTCATCAATATAACTAAACTTTGGTGACTTAGTCTTTCTCACACTAACAAGGATGATAACAATAGCTACTTTTTAAGGTTGTTATAAGGTTCAGATGACCTGTTGGAGTGCTATTTTAAAGTTGTTATACTTGTTATAGTGGTCTGTGACAAGATAAATACAGGAACTGAGAGTCAGTGTTTGAAACTTTAATAATGATTTCAGAGAGTAATTTTATATCAGATCTAATAAAAATTTCAGCTTACTTTCATTTTTCTTTTTTCTTTTTTTTTTAACATTTTTTATTGATTTATAATCATTTTACAATGTTGTGTCAAATTCCAGTGTAGAGCACAATTTTTCAATTATACATGAACATATATGTATATTCATTGTCACATTACTTTCATTTTTCTAATAATTCATTTGATTATATTTCCAAAAAGTATTGGTCCTTGACAGGGTGGGGGAAAAAAAATTGGTCCTTCACCATAGATAGTTTGAGAATGGATGCAAAATGCATGTAAAATGCAAAATGGTAAGTGTTAATACCAGTATTACTATAGTTACTAATGGTTAGCAGAGTGTCATTATCTCCAAGAAAGTACCCTGAGAGGAGAATGAGTAAATACAGTACTTCCAGTTGCCTAGAGCAGGTCTTGTAGTCCATAGGCAGCTAGGATGGGGAACTCACCAGAGTATAAGCTTTTACTTTAGACCTCTGTATCCTTATCATTGAGAGGCTGAAGTACATTTCAGATGTTTCACAGTATTTGGGGAAGAAATAGAAGATAGGCTTGGGAGCTTCAGCAAAATTAGCAATCTCTGTCTATATCTCTGTATTGGATATGACCATTTGAAATATGTGATATACATAGTTTAATTATTTTGAGAGCATTAAAGCAGTAACCTTCGTCCTTAAGATGTCTAGGAACACAAAAAATGCTTTAAATTAGCAGAGGGGATAAAAGTGACAGGATAAAAAGAATACATGTCTGCTACATCTAAGTAGAAGTGATGAAGCCATGGGAATGAGCAAAACAGAGAAAGGATTCACAGGTGAAGGAAAAGTGCAGATAGAGTTCTGCCTCAGAAGATGTCCACTGCATCAAAAGGGAGACAAAGCTCTAAATAATGTGAGGAAAGTAAATTAATAAAATAACTAGAACATTGTTGAGGGAGGTCTTTAATTAGTTGTGTTGAAAAATTAAGGTAATAGAATTGTGAGCAAAAGCCTTTGTCTGTAAATAAAGCCTTTGAGAATGGCTGCCCATTCCATTTGAGTTAAGTGATAAAGCAGTAGAAACGAGATTGAGGAGTATCAAGGGGAAAAGTTGACAGGAGGAGTTTTTCAGTATGTACGGGTGGTCAATTTTATTCACTGGCTTTTTTTAATATGGAGTATTGAACAATTGGTCTTTGCCCTTAAACCGAAAGTGCTGTTGTTTAATTTGGTAGGTCATGTAATCAAATGGTGGATGATGCCGATTTCGTGGAAAATCAGCTCTGTTTCACCCTTTGTATCATTTAGAGAAGTTAATCTTTCACTGTATACTACTAGTTGCACAAACATATCAACATTAATAAGTGAAGATCAAAAGAAAAATATAAGCTATTATTCTGTCACCTGTAACAAGTCCAGCTTTTGATTCCTTTCCATTCTCTGTCATTTGTGCATGTGTAATTTTTACCTACTTACAACTTAAATGTGCACATTTTTTCTGGATTCTGTAATGAGTATTTTAATTGAGTTATAACCATCCTAATAACTAAATATTAATGTCATTAAGTGGCTCTTTCGCACATAATTATTCCCTTGGTCATTTAATTTGTTTGCCATTGTTACACGCATCTCTGTGCATATAAACTTTTCTTTGGATTAATTTCTTATGATGGAGTCCCAGAAATAACATTATTGAGTAGTCAAAGGGTATGGCCATTTTTAATGGTTTTAATCAGCATTACAAAATTGTATAAAAGTTAATTTTCCGTTTCACTTTCTAGAGAAATTAATAGACTTACGAAATGAGTACCTGCAAGCAGATGAGGCCAATAAAAGATTTTTGGAACAGAGATATGGTAAGAGGGTGATTCAGAAGGCACTGGAAGAGATGGAAAGTAAGGAGTGGCTAGAAAAGAACTCGAAGAGCTGCCCGTGCTGTGGGACTCCTATCGAGGTAAAGGTTTGGGGACAGACTTGGAGGCAAACCTACTTGCGAGCATGTTATAATTTCCTCAAGAAACCCTTTGATTTTGTGACTAATGAAGAAAACACACTTTGGTATTTATTAAACCTTCTTACTTGGAAGATGCAAGTTTACTGGAAATACTGATATTGACCTTAAATGTATGTAGACCTCCCTTTTCAAAGTGCTTTCATACAGTGACAATTGTTCTCACATTATAGCCATTTCAAAATTGAATGGGTTATGAGGAGGCCATACTAGAGCTACAATCAACTCTTAACTCATCTGTGTGAGTTGAAAAAACAAAACAAAACAAAAAACCTCAAGCCTGACTTCTCAGAACTGCTTATCCTGGAATTTAGCGCACTTATTTAACAAGTACCTACTTAAGAAATAGAGAATTTTCCCATCAATCTGAGTCAAAATAGACAGATAAATCTATTGCTTCTTGACAAAATCTTAATATATTTTAAAATCAAAATGTATCTTTGCATTTAATTTATTGTCCCAACCCGTTATGTCTGAATTGGCCCTGGTGGTGATGCCTGTTACTCTGTTAAGGACACAGGCGTTCTGTTTAACCACTTCTGACGTGCCTCAGCTCTGTGATAGAGTGGGGGACTTGGTACTGTTTACTTAGATTGATGTAGAGAATATAAAAGCCCATGTATTAAACCCAAACGTTTTAATATTAATCTAACTACATGTTTCACTTGGAGTGTACGTGTTTGTCTTGAGTCTGCTGTTCATCGGAAGAGATTTTGCTAAGTATCTAGTTGTAGGAACACCTGCTAAATATTTTCTATGTTTTACTTGTAATGATAAAGAATTAGACTTCAACAGTTATCAGTGTGTCATCTGTATATCTCAACCCTGCCCTGGAAAGCGGGGAAGACTAGGAGAATGTTGTACTGTAGCATTTTGGCACGTGCATTTCTCTTTCTGTCTCTCCCACCAGAAATTAGACGGATGTAACAAGATGACATGTACTGGCTGTATGCAGTATTTCTGCTGGATTTGCATGGGTTCGCTCTCTAGAGCAAACCCTTATAAACATTTCACTGATCCTGCTTCCCCATGTTTTAACCGGTACGTACACACAAAACCCCTAGTCTCAGTAGCAATTTTTGGTACTTGATTTGCAGACCATGAGTCCAGTTAATTTTACTTAAGTACTCTGACTATTTAGAGAATTCTCTTATGTATTTTCCCCTATGTATGAGACTTTCTTGAAAATGAGTTTCATGATGAAAATATACTATCTGGGAATTTTATTTCTTATCCTCCTCTACTTTTTATAGTGAAAATTTCCAAACATAGAGAAGAGTTGAAAGGATAGGACTATGATTAGTAGGATACCTTCCACCCAAATGAACGATCGGTGATATTTTGCCGTATTTGTTTACTAAATTATTGCTGAACTATTTGACCCTAAGTTGGAGATAAGATGCTTCATCTCTGTATATTTCCACAGGTCTTTCCTAAGATAAGAAAATTCTTCTACATAACAAAATGCTTTAAAAAATTTGACAGTGATGGCATACTGTCATCTAATAAAATACTTAAAGCTTCTCCATTATCCCTAAAAATATCTTTTAAACCTGTTTCATTGAACCAGGATCTAATTGAGTTCAACCATTTTCTTTGATTCCATCTCTTTAGTTTAATAGAGAAAAGTTTTGTCCACTTTTTCTTTGTATGTGTTGAGGGGGAACATTGACTTTGAAGAGTCCAGGCTGTTACACTCTATAACCTCTTACCTTCTGGATTTTGGTTCTCCATGGAGTCTTTTAGTTTGCTTCTGTATCCTTTCTGTTTCCTGTCAGTGGAAGTTAAATCTGGACTGAAGTTTGACTAGATTTAGAGTAGCATTTTTGGCACGAGTACTTAATGAAGGGTGATGTACTTCATATAGTATCACATCAGATCCATAGTGTCAGGCTTTCTGCTGTTGGTGTGATGCTCAGTTCTATCATTTGCTCCATCGTAAAAATAAGTTTTCTTTTTGTCATTAGTAAGTGGTCTGTAGGGTGATGCCTTGACACGGTATGAATAACCTATTCTCCAGCAGCTCCAATTTCAGCAGCAGTTGATACTCTTTGCTAACAGGCCTCTGTGGAGTACCTACAATCATTGGTGTTATCAGACTATAAATTGAAGAAACAAGCACTGCCCATGAACCGTTGGGAATGTAGTGTTGAAAATTGCATAAATGTTAAGTAACATAAGGGAAGGAAAAAAGACATTGGCAACTGTAAAACGTTCTACAGACGGAGAGTGCAAGTGAAGACGGAGAGAGCGGAGTGGTTAGCATGTAACAGAGTTACAGTGCTTTGAAGGAGTTCAGGTTCTAGGTTGCCTGACTATCCCAGGTGTGGCTTATTCCGGATATTGTACCACACTGAGTATCAGTTTTGTGATACCTGTCTCCTGTTATAGTTTATCTTTGGCCCTGGAGAGTTGTCTGAATCCTAAAAGGGCTATTCTTATAAACTTTAAGGCAGCTTATTCAGAGGGACCCATATTTCAGCCCTCCCCAGTGGAATGTTTAAAGAGGGAAAGATATGCAAAGATGTTATCAGAAGAGTACAGAAAGTATTTTTGAAAACAGGAAAGAAATTTTATTCCATTTCTATCAGGTGTATTAAAGTGTACCTTATTTTCTGCTTCCAGGTTGTTCCATGCTGTGGATGTTAATGGAGATATTTGGGAAGATGAGGTTGAAGACTAGTTAACTCCTGCTGCTCAAGATACGGACGTGGAATGGTTTGCCCTAATCTTTTGTCAAGTACACAAAGTAACTTTGCAGGATATTTAGGGTACCATTCATTCACTCTTCCTATGCAGAAGATATGGAAGAACAAAGTTTATATTTTCATGTGGTACTACTGATTAAGGCACATTCGTACATTTTTCATTGTAACATAATTGAGGAAATATTAAGCCAAAGGTTCAGAAAATGGAAACTAGAAAATATTAAATATTATAATGTGCTGAAGCTTTGAATAGTTAAAAAGTAAATATTTATTTTCTTCCCCAAGCTTTAGGTAAGGAGAGAGGGGTCAAGAGTTAAACTTACAGACCTTTTTATTCTGAGAAGCATCCTGCTAAGACATCTAAGGGAGCTCCCTCAGTATACTCCTGATAGCTGGGGTGGGTAGGCGCCTTATTAAACTGTCCTGAGAGCCTGATCCCATTTACTCCATGTTACATTCCTTCCAACCTGAATTTCTGCTACATTAGTTTTCTTTGGAGGAAGCTCTTTGCTCTCTATAACTGATTGGATGACCCACTGTCATTTTGATCTACTGCTTTTCAGAATAGAAATTTATAGATAATTATTAAACTATTTTTAATACCATAAGCAGTATGGGTCACAAGATATATTTCTTCGTGGCATATAGTCCACTGGTTTTGAGCCAAGTCTATAGTTTATTGGTACTGGCTCAGAGGAATTTCAGCCGTATTCAGCTTTCCTCTGTCTTCTAGGCAGTAGAGCCTAGATTCAAAACAACTTGTCTTTGCTACCTTTTGTTCTCCTTTCTCTCCATTGACGCTCACCCTACCTTTCATTGGTAGGGACAGTTTTACTATTAGCTCCAGCAGCTAATATTTTTATTTCCTCTGCTGAGATAGGAGAAAGCCTAATATATTCCCAAGCTAAACCAGCTGAACTTTCATTATCTTTGCTTTTTGAACACTACACTACCATAGTTCCCGTCCTAACTTTCTGAATTCTTTTTAAAGCTCTTCTCTAATGAGCTATGGAAATTTGTCTTCCTATCCATTTTTTTTTTTGCAACAGCACTGTTTGGGGGGATAATTTTGGCTTGATACCTAGATCCCTGTTTCTGGGTTTTGTTGGCTTTTAAAAAAATTGTCTTTCCTTATGGTTTGGTGAGTGGCTTGGTAGCAAAATAAGATTTTGGGGGAAAAAGGACAGAGGAATTCAGTTGCAGGTGTGAACATGTTCTTTTTTCCTACCTTGTCATTGAAAATTGGGAAATCACTTATAACCATTTTATGTGTGTGTATCCAAAGAGCACGGACTGTTTCTGGATTGTTAATGAGGATGCTTAATCTTAAAAATAAAAATTATTTAAAAATTGTCTTATAATGAGAGCAGAGTTGCTGCTATGTGTTCTGTCACCAAGGCAACTGATCACATTTAAAAACTATGCAGTGTATAACACATATTCTTAAAGTGAGCAGAAAAAAGCATGGAATGGTGCCTCCTCCTCTGCCTGGGCTTGTGACTGAACTTAGATTTTAGGGCCAATGTTTTGTTTAAACCACATAGTTTTATGGACTTCGATTCAGCACACTTTATGTAAGAACTAAAGTTAACCTAAAGAATAAGTTGAAGATTAGAAATGGAAATTAAGACAATTATGTAGTACTGCTTGAGAAGAGTGGCTCTTCTCAGTGGCTGAATAGGAGTTCAGTTCATATCTTTCTCTAGTGACCACTCAGAAGCTGTTTGGCTCAGGGCTAGTTGATATTTGCTAGAGATTATTTTATTTTAGGCTGTTGCACATTTTGTTGATGAGGTAGTGGAAGTAGGAGAGAAGCCTTAACTTTGTGTTTCATCTTCCATACAAAATCTTCACCCCTCAATTTTCACAAAAATAATAGGGCTTGTCAAGTTTTATTTTTGAGTCATGAGTTATGAACTAATTTTAAGGTGGTATAGTTTTGGGTAGAGTACTTTTGTCTCTGAGTAAAATATAAGATTGGGATAACCCCCCATAAGACCTGTGAAATAAATGAGTTTGTGGAATATTGGTTTATCAGCTAGGTATATGAGTGAACAAAGAATTGTGTGTATCTAGCTTAAGTTCATGAAGGCTTTTTTCACAAATAGGCTGAGATTTGTCATAAATTGACATGAACCTTATGGGTCCTTTTGGTGGAAGTGAAGAGGCAGAGGGTCCCTTTGCAATTTGCCAAAACCTGCTTGAAGAGGGTGCATGTCTTGATTTTATATGAAAGGTTTGGACCTAGAACTGATAAATGAAAATAACCTGCTGAATAACTTTTGAAGTCAATATAGAAGTTTTGTGACTTTTTAAGCTTGGGATTGAACTAACTTCAGGGCCTGCCTTCGCCAATTGGGATGAATCTTGTCCCATTCATTTTTTTAAGTAAACTTTTTGTTTTACAATAGTGTTAGATTTACAGGAAACTTGGGCAAAACAGCAAGTTCCCATATACACCCTAAACCCATCTCCTTATTACTAACATGTTAGTGTGATACATTTGTCATAGTTAATGAACAAATATTGATACATTGATACATTATTAACTAGAGTCTATACTTTATTCATATTTCCTTTGTTTTTCCCTAATTACCTTTATCTGTTCCAGGATCCCATCCAGGACACCACATATTACTTGCAGTCATCATGTCTCCTTGGGCTCCCCTTGGCCATCATATGTTTATTAGTAGTAGTGCATAAACATTATATCTTGATGCATTTGTATTGGTCAGGAGCCAAAAACCTTTTCTTGGAGACTGATTACCTAATCCTAGCAGGCTCAGCAAATCAGTGAAATTCTTTTCTGATTGGTCTTTTTGTTGCTTTAAATCAGTTATTTCTAAAGACACTGGGTGTACATAGAGTTGTAGGCTCTGTGTCTGTTATGGTCATTTTTCTACTCAGCTTCACGAGGAAATCATTAAGCACTGGACAAGTTGATCAGACTTATGGGTCATCTGGACTCACAAGGCTCTGCACTTGTGTGAGAGGATTAGCCTGCCACCTCAGCTCAGTGCTGAACCCAGCAAGTGAGCATCTCGTGTCTACATCCCTTCCTGTTGAGGAGATTGATAAGGGAGAAAACCTTTGGCAGCCATATTCCCAGACCTATAGCACTGGCAGCAAGGTCATTTTTTTGTAGTAGAGGGTTCTAGTTTACATTAGAAATCCATTAATATACTTATTTTTTGTTGTTGTTAAGAGAAAATTAGAGTTAATCAGATATATGCTAATTATAAAGCCATTCATGTGGTTTCCTGCTTTAGAAGGAAAATTTAAAATTTGGACTATTATTTTGGAAAGTCCAAGTATTAACTTTGTCATAAGCACTACCAGCAGGTGGCAGCAATTCCCATGTTACAAATGCAAAAACTGGTTATGACAGTAGTATTTTGTTACAGAAGCAGGTGCATTTCTGGAATTTTAATTTTCCTCATTGTGTTTCATCATAGTCTGTTATATACTTTTATGCATTTAATGATACCAAGGCGAGAACAGCAGTATTACCAAAAACTGTAAGGCCACTCAGAACTGTTCTTGAACCATAGTTGACGTCCAATTATGAAGTGACATTGAAGTGTCACTCCTGAGAATAGCACTTGCCTGCAACCAGTGAAGTAAAGAAAAGAAGTTATAGCTGAAACCACTAAGTAAGACCAAGGAATTGTAACACTGGGGTGCCCTCTAATACTGATAAGAGTAGCCAAACAGTCTCTTCTCTGAACTTTGGCTCAATTAAAAACAAAATCGGCCACCCGACCAAGTTAAGGGTTTGTGGTCAGAAAGCTGTTTATGATAATTATCAACTTTCAGCACCATAGTCTAGACTTTGCAGTTATTCAGGTAGCATGAATGTTTACCACTCCAAGTAGTCCCATGTGTCTCTGAGCCAGAGGATGCTTTGGAGAAGATTGTGCACATTGAAAATTTAGTGAGATTCTGATGCCAAGTTGATAAGTAGAAAGTCAGCACAGTTATTTCTTTTCCTTACTTTGCTCTTTTTTTTCCCCATTGAGTTGACAAACTAAACTAATATTAATACAACACAAATGCATATAAATTTAAAAAGTGATTGTCTTATTCTCAATCCCATTCCATTTCTTGCAACCTACTGTATTTCCTAGTATTCATTCACTCATTTAACAAATATTTATTGAATACCTCACTATGAGCCTTACTATTTTTCGAAGTGCTGAGAGTGTAACAGTGATTAAAACATATAAATCTCGCTGTCCTTTTGGAACTTAAATTCTGGTGGAAGGAGACAGACACTGAGCAAATTGTATGGTTTATCAGAAGATAAGTGCTTTGGAGAGAAGTTGAGAGAGGGAATAGGGAGCTAGAGGAGGCAGAGTGGTGCTGGAATTTTAAAGAGTGGAGAGGACTTCATCAAGATGGCACCTGAACAAAGGCTTGGCAGCCCGGGAGTGAAGACCTGTGGACACCTGTGAGAAGGGAGTCCAGGCAGAGGGAATAGCAGGGGTAAAGGCTCTTGGGGTTGGAGCATGTTAGAAGGCTCCATGGTAGCCAGTAAGGACTTAGGCAAACTGAGGAAGGGAAAATTTTGAAAGGTGGGGTGGGAGTAGGGAGTGCTGCCGACTGCTCTGGGCCTTGGGTGAACTTTGGCTTCTACCCTGAGATGGCAGCCTTTGGAGGGCTTTGAGCAGGAATGTGATAGGGTCTGACTTATGATTTAGGTGAGCAGGGGAAGCCAGGGCAGAAACAGATCAGTTAGGAGACTACTGCAGTAACTGAGGTGAGAAGTGCAGGTGGCGTGGACCAGTGGGCCAGCACTTGGAATCTTGAGAAATGGTCAGATTCTGCACTTTCCTTGAAGGTAAAACTAATAGGATTTGCTGACAGATTGGATGTATAATGTGAGAAAGTGAGGCATCAGAGTTGATTTCTAGGTCTTTTTGAGTAGTTGAGATGGAGAAACCAATAGGTAGCACTGACTGGCCAATGAAGAGCAGGACTTTAGTTGTAGATCGGTGACAACCCAATAGGTAGCACTGACTGGCCAATGAAGAGCAGGACTTTAGTTGTAGATCGGTGACTTTGAGACGTCTGATAGTTGTCGCAATGCAGATGTTGTAGGCAGTTGGATATTCTAGTCGAGTTCAAGGGACAGATTTGGGCTGGAGATTCACATATGAGAGTCAATGAATAGATGGTATTTAAAGCCATCAGACTGGATGAAATTACGAAGAGAGTCAGTTTTATGAGAGGAGGTCCAAAGACTGAATTTTGGGACACTTTTAAATGCTAAGAACTCAGGGGATGAGAAGGAACTAGCAAAGGAGACTGAGTGTGGCCAGTAAGGTAAGAAAACCAGCAAAGTGTGATATCGTGGAAGCCACTTCAGATTTGAAAGAAGGAATGGTCAGCTGTGTCAGATACTGCAAATAAGTCAAGTAATATGAGCTCTAAGAACTGACTTGGCAATCACTGTAGAGGTCATTGGTGATTTTGACAAGTGCTGTTTCAGTGGAGGGGAGGTGAAAGTCTGGAGTGTTTGAGAACGAATGGGGCACCCTATGACAAGAAAAAAGTGAACAAACTGAAAATCAGCTTTCTTAGATCCAACAGATTATTGAGGTCACAGGGCAAATGTCCACAAAAACTAGAAAGGCAGGAAAATGCTGAAAATACAAATCTGTTCACCCAAGGTAGAAGCTGCTGGAGGCAATAATCAGGATTTAAATGAATTGCTAGGGGGCTGAATGTGGACTCACTTGAGAGTTTAAAACTCTAGAGAGCAATCTGCAACAAGTATCCAATGTTATTACAACTTAAAAAAAATTCCTTGGAGCTAGTCTGAGGGGTTTTACTTTCAGGAGCTCTGTCAGGTTCTCACTGGGAAGATGGCAGAGAAACCACCTTGTGCAGAGGGGAGCCGGGAAGTGGCCGTCCTGAAATACACCCAGAGCTTTCTGTTTCCATGGCAGAGCCTGCCCTCAGGGAAAACTACTTTGCTGGAGTCCTCTGTGACCTCAAGGAAGGACAGTTGAATGGCTGGAGCCCCCTTTAGCCTTCCTGTCTCACATAAGAGGGGGGAAAAAGAAAGGCTAAGAAACTTCTGTAGGTCTCAGCCCAGAGATTCTAGCCCAGTAAAGTAAAACAGATTTAATCACAAGATTATAGAATGCCTCTCCCTAATACCTTAACATCTACAGGGCTCCAGTATCATAGCAATGGATTACAGCTTTTGAAAGAGTAGCAAGTCACAGCCTCTATTTTAAGAAGGAGTTTCTAGGGAAATCCAGAGACAACAGGGGAGACAAAAATAAAGGACACTGAAGGAAACTGAAGCCTCTGACACCTCCAAGAAACATTAAAACACAGCCTAGCTGCTAGCCACATAAACATAAAGCCTCACATTAACGACCTGTTTATCTCAGTTCCTATTACCCAGTACCTCATACCCAACTTTCAGTAAAAAAAATCACAGGGATGCTAAGAGGCAGGGGAAAAGAGTCTGAAGACATAAAGCAAGCACCAGAATCAGACTCAGATAGGGCAGAGATTTTAGAATTATCACACTGGGAATTTAAAATAACTATGATTAACATGCTAAGATCTCTGATGGAAAAAGTGGACAACATGCAAGAACAGAGGAGTAGTATAAGCAAAAGATGGAAACTCAAAGAATCAAAAAGAAATGCTAGAAATAAAAACACCGTAACAGAAATGAATGCCTTTGATGGGCTCATCAGTAGGCAAAGCACAGCTGAGAAAAGAATTGTTGAACTTGAAGATCTGTCAGTGGAAACGTCCCAAACTGAAAGGTAAAGAGAAAAAGAAATGAAAGAAAAAGGGTACAGGGTATCTAAGAACTGTGAGACAGTTGCAAAAGGTGTGTTAACATGTGCACAAGGGGAATACCAGAAGAAAGAGAGAATGGAGGGAGAGAGATTAGAGCCAGAGTAGAGGTAACTCCAGAAATTTTGCTTATTGCAAAGGGGATCAGAGAATGAGGCTATTATAGAAGGGGACAAACAGGGTGAAGAGTTGTGTTTTTAAAGCTTGTTTTGTATTCTGACGGGGGTGATCTGGGAAAGGACAGTTTGATGCTGCAGTTGAGAGAGGGTCTTGCTGGAGCATTGCCCTCAAGGAGGCAGGAAGAGATGGGATCTGGTGCACAAGTAGAGGGAGTGACCAAGGAGCAAGTGACAGGAAGAAGGCAAACAGCGAGGGCAGGGCTGGCAGGCAGGTATATGTGAGGGAGGGAACTTGTGGAAGTTCTTTCCTGATTGCTTCTGTTTTCAAGGCTATCAGCTGAGAGAAAAGCTGGAGAAAAAGGGATTGGAGGCTTGAGATCTTATGAATTAGTTTTTTTTGATTTAATGAAGTATAGTTGGTTTACAATGTGGTATTAGTTTCTGGTATACAATGGAGTGGTTCATTTATACACACACACACATATATATATATATATATTAAATTTTTTCACTATAGGTTATTACAATCTGTTGAATATAGTTCCCTGTGCTATATAGTAGGATCTTGTTGTTTATCTAATTTGTGTATAGTTAGTTTGTATCTGTCTACTACCTAACCTAACTTACTTACTTACCTCCCCTTACCCTTCCTTTCCGTTTACGTACTTAGTTT